TTATGATTGTGTTAAATTAGTGTTGAAAAAGTATGTTTGATGAGAAATTCTAACATTTCAATTTAAATGTAAAACAAATCTTTTAATTCCTCAACTTTTAATCCTTTAAATCTAATAAAAAATTCAAAAAAATTTAGTTAAATGAGTCAAATTGTGACAACTTTATAAGTTCGGAGGTTAATTGTCAAAATTAAAAGTTTCTAAAATCCCTTATATACCGATTTTATACTCGAAAAATCCATTATTTATATAGATATATATTGATACAAGATGCAATAGTAGATATGACTCCATCCCCGCGTGAAATTGTTGGCTTCTTCCTCACAAGCTCTTCATGAACTAGCTTCGTGATGGTATGTCGTTTGGTTGTGACTGTTTTATCCTATAGTGCTTTTGGTGGTCCGCAGTGGTCGGGAAATTTGTTCGATGGTGGGTTGCGATGTTTCATGGAGGGTCTCCATTTATTCTTCATTTGTTTTGCGGAGGGAGGATGGGTAGTAGCATTAATAGATTTCGGTTTCGGGTTGGGATTAGGGTTGGTTTAAATTTCGTGCGAAATTAGTGGTTTGAAAAGTCTTTATTTATACGTTAATAATTGACTTAACTGAAAGCAAATTATTAATGTCTATGGAGTAAATATGGTATCGTTTAGTTCGTTAATTTAGATTTTTAATTTGATTTGATATGTGACTTTATATGAGAGCTTTTTACTGTAACAAAAAAGTTAGACGTAACTGTTTTTGAGAATTTTTTACTGTAACAAAACTCGAATCGGTAAAATGAACATGACCTATATAATTCTTTTAAACTAGTGGTTTAATCGAAATAGATCAGTGGTTTACTTTCATTTTGTGTTCAAGTAGAGTTTTTTTTTTTTTTTTTTTATCACCTTTTAAACTATTGGTTTACTTGAAATCAAACCTTCATTTTACTTTAGAATGTTGATTTATTTAAATGTAAACCAATAGGATTATAGACTTTATAACTCCGAGCCCTGTTTTCTTTCTTTCAATCTTTTCTTCTTTCCCAGTTTGAAAAATCAAATACGATATTCGAAGACAAAATTATACAGAGGACGAAGGGGAGCAAAAAAAAAAAAGGTAAAAGTCCAAATGAAACTCAGATACACAATTATTTTTCCCCTATTCTACGAATTCAGTTTTATATTCTTGCCCGAGAGCCGAATTAGGACGTATCTTCTGATAGTTGTACTCCTAACACATTAGCAAAAATAATAAGATATAGTACTTCGTATGATTATTACTATTATCATATGCTCTGTAGAATATTATCAAAATAATAATAGTTCGTGATTTTAGGTCCCACATGATTTCATTTAGATTACAACATCAAACAAAAGGGTTGCTCACCAACCCTCTCATTTCTCAAAAGGTATCAGACAACAACAAAAGCTTACCAATCAAAAAATAAAAAATAAAATTAAAAACAAAAGCTTCCCCACATTACAATGGGGTACTTTGGTCATTTCATCTGGCATAGGAAAAGCAAGGCTAAGAGATTATAGTTTGTTGTAATAATCACCATGCATAACTCTTTTTCTTTCTTTTTTTTTTCCTTTCCTATTTGAATGGAAAATTAACCTTCTGGAATATATATATATATACACACATACATATGTACCTGTAATATAAAAGGAGACGTTTGGTTTATAGATTAGAACTATGTGATTAGAATCATTTTTTATTTACGTGTATTTTTTATGAAAGAAAATACTGTAGCGAACTACGAATCATGATTCGAATCAGGGAACGAGTCTAGGTACCAAACATCCCCTAAGTATCGGTAATCATTGATAATTTGTGTTCGCAAAGGTCAGTCTTCTTCCCTCAAATTCTGAAAAAGCCAAATCAGTAAGGAAATCAGATTCATGATACACGGGGTTGGTTTCCTCTTTGTCAATGCCCGTGTTCCCTTGTCTACCAAGTTTAATCATCACCCAACCAATCAATATTTTCATTCTTTTCTCCATCGGCCACCATCTAGCAACTTAATCAATCATTTATTCTTGTTTATTTTTTTTTTCTATGCACAATTCATGTCCAATATTGAGTTCAAAATAGACCAAGACGGCCCTAGTAAAAACACAGTTGGAGAGAAGGAAAAAATAGATAGTTTTCAACTTTTCATGGCAAGAGGTCTGGTGGGTCTCTGCCCACTAAAGTTTATTTACAAGTTCGTCATTAGATGTTCAATTTAGGGTGGGATTCATGCTATTTACGGAGGAAGACGGTTATCGAATCGAATTTAAAATAGGAATGAGATTGTCGTGGGATTTGGAGAGACGTTTTTAGACACGTTAGTTTTTGTCTGACTTACCCTTTAGACATTGTGGTCTACGAAAAAAGATGAGTAGTCTTGGAGCACACACACCGTTTATCGCCTACGTGTGTTTACTAGCCACTTGTCTTTTTTACCGTTTGTTTCGCTGGTGTGAGGAGTTTTCCTTTCCTTGGTGTTTTGATATTTTAGCTTGTGGATTTTTTTGTTTTTCATTTTTCATTTTTCATTTGTAATAATGATGATTCTTATCCCAATTAGTTTATGTTATTATTATTGTTTTATTGTAAGATATGTTTTAAGGGTATTTTGAGTGTGACTTTATTAACACATTGGGTGTTTTGGGCATTTGCACAATAAGAGAGACAAAAGTAGTATTTAGGCAAAATAAAATGGACATTTGGATATTTTCTCATAATTTATAAAATACTTTACATTAACACGTTAGAAAATTTAATAAGTAAATACGCCTGTCACCAATACAATTGAAAATATAAATACAAAGGATAAAATAAGGTGGGATAATATTAATGACATGTTTACGTACGCATAATTAGAGTAGGCGTGAATCAAAGTTATGATACGGTACGGGTGGGATTAAAGAGTAAGGATTCCGAGTTTGAATAAATTTATTAAGGTTACAAGAATCAAAGTCAAAATCATATGCATCGCCCATAATTAGAATGAACTATTCAAATTTACTTACATGTTTCACTTAATTTTATGTTTTCAATTTTAAAAAAATAAGTTGTGTATTTTAATATTAAGTCAAAAAATAATAAATATAAGTTATAATTGTATGTTCTTTAGATAATTAAATATAAGGTATAAATATTTGCCATAAAATATTTTTAAATAAATAACGAATTTCTTATTGATTATGTTTTTTTCCCCTTAAAAAAACATAATGCTCATGCTTTTTCATCAAAAGTCGATCCTGTTACGCCAAATTGACAAGAATGAACAAGAGGAAGTTAATAACACATAAGACGTAAAACCCAAATGAATCTTTATTGCACCAAGAGAGATTTACGTGAAAAACTCCAAATTTGGTAAATCGAATATAGAGATGCAAGTTTGGTCGGGGCCAGGAGCTAAACTGCAATATTGAACTAAGGCGGTCTAAAATTTTTTAAGATACTTTAAAAACATTAAGAGGGTGTTCGGGCCAAATAAGATTTCGGGCTTGAAATCTCGGTCTAACATGACTCATAATTTGGGTTGAAATCGGGACAGGTTTTGAGCCAGTCCATTTGACTAGGTCGAATTTTGTAGTTGTCATTGTATAACACAAGCAATTCCTCTAAAAAAACAAAATAAAAACACAAAAAAGAGGAATAAAAGAAAGATTGTTGAAAAAAAATTGACTACTCTCGATTGCCTATGTTTACTTTTTTATCCATAAAATTAGAAATATTATTGAGGGTGAGGTAGTAATTTTATTTTGGGCAACTTCTATGGTGGAACAAAAAAAAAAAATGCACCGATGAAACATACGTTTTTAATCGTTTGATTAATATTTCAACAGTCAGATTTGTTCAGGCCCGTATTAAAAATTTACAGTGCGCCACATAGAACTACTCTTGCTGTAGATTTTGATCGTTGAAAAATTAATCCAATAATATAAAAAAACAGTGCTCCATCGGCGGGTTCTTTTTTGGAGTCTCACGGTAGAGAATGTTGAGTTAGTTCAATTCACCGATTTGAATTTTTAATTTCAGTTTGCCCCAGTAAAAAGCCCTCACAAAAAGTTACATTTAACTTTCTCTGCTACAGTCAAAAGCTCTTACAAAAAGTTACATCTCAGCTCGAATCAAAAACTCGAATAGGAGAATTGAACAAGGCTTTAATTTTATAATCAAAGATTGCATGTGCCTCGTTCATTTCGCCGATTTGAGTTTCGCTACAGTAAAAAGCTCTCAGAAACAGTCACATCTAACTTTTTTGCTACAGTAAAAAGCTCTCACACAAAATCACATCTCAACTCGAATTATAAACTCGAATCAGCGAAGTGAACAGGCCCTTGATGTGGGCCACGGGATTGCTAATCTCATTGTTTAATCTCAAATGAGTAATTTTGATAAATACTCATTGAAAGTGTATGAGTCAAGATTTTTATTTCATAACATTTTTAGTCAAATAATTACACTAATAAAAAAATATTTATCAAGAATAAAAATTAAATGTCTAAAATTATGCATTTTTAAAAATAAATTATCTATTTTTTTATCTCAAATTAATGTGGGGCTCACACAATTCTACTTTTATTCCATGATAAGAGTCGGTAATTAAACATGTGCAGTTAATTTTTATTTCCCACTTTTATTTCCTACTTGTGACAAGTAAACATACCGCAAAAGAGAATCGAGGCATGATTCATGACGGTGCCACACAATTCGGTTCACTTTTGTAATAGGTTGCTAATGACTAATGAGGAGGGGCAGAGTGGGATGATTTGAATCTTGTAAGGGGTAAAAGTATAACGCTTTAAAATTTAAGGGGGACAAAAATAGAATTAAAGTGAAAATTTGCACGATTGGGGTGAGATTTTTCCCTTAATGAAAATTTCTTGAATTTCTTTCTACACTTCAATTTTACCTTTTGTTTTTCCAAAAAAGAAAAAAAAAAGAATTTTAAATTAAGTTTTTCTTCGTTCCAAGTCTTTGACTAGTTGTACTTTTACAGACTCTCTCTCTCGACTCTCTAAATTCTTTCTTTTTCAGAGATTTTTCTCTCTCCTCTGTCTCCTCTCCCGTCCCTCCGGTTCTCCGTCGCCGACGCTCCCATTCTCGCCGGGATTTCTCTCCGACGACCTCTATTCCGCTGGTAACATCCTTCTTTCGCCGGAAACCTCTCTCGGCAGCTTCGGAAAGCCTGCTTCTCTCTGTGGACTGGCGTGGACCAGAAGCTTCTTCGTCGTCGGAGCTCCAACGGAGGTCCTCCGGTTCTGGCTCACGCTGTGAGGGCTAGATCTGCGAGGCTTCGTGAGGAGTACGACCTCAGAGTGCCTCGTTCTCGCGCGTCGTCTCTCTGGTTGGATAAGAAAGAGAGTTTTCGGAGGTTTCCTTCGCGGCGTGGGGTTTTGTGGTGTGATCGTTGATGGTTAGCTTAGCGACGAGCCTGCGGTGGTCGTAGATGATGACCGGAGCTCCGGCGAAAGATCGGGAGGGTGGTGGCGTTTCGGTAAATTCTCTCACATGGAATGGCAGATCTTGTTAGCTACGG